AAATAATTTTGTTAAAAGTTGAAATTGATTAAAATAACAGACAATGTCTAAAAAAAAAAACAAAAAACAAAAAAACGATCGAATATCGTTGGTTAAATTTATTTTAATTACATATTTTTGTTAATTACAACATACGCCAGTAAACAAGACATCAACATAAATTACTGGTTTTTATATATGCAATATTTGAAATAAAGTTTGAATATAATAACATTTTAGAATAGCAAAATCTTTTACTTGAATAAGAAAAAATTGTCCAGACCAGACCAATTAACGGAGTAACTTTGAGGTAGCTAGGCTACAGTTTTTGCATAAGATATCTTTTTCGGGAGTGGGATCCAGCCAGGTAAGAAAGTGGGGGGCGTGAATCGAACTGAGGGAGAGTCTAGGCATAGAGCCGTAGGAAGCGCAACGGGCAAATCTCACTTATTGCTTCTGGATTGATGTTTACTATTTTTTGCATGGTAATTTTCTGATAGGCCTAAGCACAAGAAATAGAGAGGACGTACGCCCCTTCTAATCCGCCACTGCCTTCTCTCTTATTCTTTTGCCAAACATAGGCCTACACGTAACAAACAATTAAATACGATTTGAACCGATTCTTAAATGTCCTGAATTTAAGGATTTTTGTAGTAAAACAGTGGGGTTTTTTGAATAAATTAAGTTATTTTTAATTCTAATTAATGACTTTATTAAAACGTCTTAAAACTTGTGTACCGGTATTTTCAATTAACATTTATTAAATTATGTATTATTTTAGATTGAAAATTTAAAATTTATTAAGTTTTTCTATTGTATATGCGGCATATGATGATGTTCACTTGAAGAATGACGACTGAATTAAAGAAAAAAAAACATCAGTTTGGTCTGTAAGGCGACTTGATAAAAATTTTAATCATGCAAATAATAAAGATAACAATGTTCTTCAACAGTAAAAATTTCTATATTTTATAGCTGTTGTTAAACTTCCCACTACAGTATTTTTATTGAAGAACTATACGAGGTAGGCAATTAAAATAGATTCTAGGGTTCATATTTTCTATATTATTGCAAACAAAACTTTTACAGGGTCTAGTAATAGTGCCTTTGTAGGGTGCATTGGATTAGAAACGTTGTTCTTTGGTATCATTTCGAAGGTGTGTGTTACATCTAATTTACTATTTTAATACATCAAAATGGTATACACACATTGTGGATCCAGGCCCAAAACTACAGGTACACAGCGGATAGTTAGCCTCCATTTTGAGGATCTATTTCAGTAATTTGACAAATTGAGTTATAGCCTGGGATCGATGCTTAGTGTAATTGACGCTGGCATTTTTATGCTATCAAACTTGCGTCCATTTGTTACTTTACTGCGACATCACAAACGCCGCTAGGACTAAACGTTATAAATTTGTCTCTAAAAAAATACTGCCATGATCATAATTTTTATTTTAGTAGTTTCATAAATTTATATATTTGGTCAATTTCATATTGCATTAAATTTGCTGATGCATACATTTGATAAATAGTATCGTCCAATTAGGATTTTAAACAACAGCGTAAGGTTTACTCCATTTATATTTCTTGTTAACACATTAAATTACAGTATTTATCCTCTTTATCATTATTTTCATTATCCTCATCCTTAACATTCTTATGACAACCTACTATCAGGATAGCAATAGTTTTATTTCAGATGTTTTCTCGCATTTTTCTCTCTTTTAAGCCTATTAGAATTTCACCATGATTATTTTTATTAGTCTAATAATTGTTAATCACTTGAGAAAAAAATGTACTCATCATGATTTGAACCCAAGACCTTCTGATTGCTGCTTGGGTGCTATACCAACAAAATGCTACACCATAACCTCTATGTGATTTTCCAGTGATAGACATTTCTCAAGGAACAGTATACTACACAATCTAACAATAAGCAAAAATCAATTATATATTTCAACTTAATTATGGGACTTAATTAATGTAAATAAACCATCACCCCAAGTCACTGCCTATAGATATTATACTTGAAGAATTGATGCAATCCTTTTTATATCTGATTTGATTCTAAAATCAAATTACAAATGCACTAAATGCATCAAACTACTTTGGTAAAAATTCTCTACAATTACACAATGTGTATTTTTACTTTTCCCTAATATGTTTCTATCAGTCCAAAAATGGGTGGGAAAATGGTGGATAGAGAAGAACAATAGAAGTAAACTTGTGAAGGAATAGAAATGAAAACTTAAAAATGGAACATACAGAGTGATTAAGAATGAGAATATTGTTAACTTTTACTTTCTGAGCCATAGCTAAATTACATCATTAAATTATATCATGTGAAATAGCATATGAGAATATAGAGATGGGAGGAAAAACAGCAAGAGAAAGGAAAAGGTTTACCTAAAAAAATTGAGGAATAATGGTTGTAAACCGGGAAAAATCATGGACATAGACTGGGATAAAAATGACCATAGATTTTCAGTGGAATATGGATTTAGATTTGCCTTCACAATTTTCGCACCCCCACCCCAGTTTAAAACCAGCCTAGTTTAAAACCAGCCTACAGCTCTGACAAAAATATTTGAGAAAGAAAAAAATGGGAATAAAAATTATATTTCGGAATCATTTAATATTAATTTGGCACATTTTTCTTCTTACTAATCTGAATTATTCCACATTAAACACAATGACATGTAAAAAATATGTTGTCCAATGCACCACTTCAAAAGACTTTTGCCCGGCCCATTGCCATGGTGATTTATTCTTTTGGTGGAGTTTGTTTCATCGTTCCCCAAGTCTGCTTTGTAAACACATCCTTACTCTTGACGAACCGAGCAAAGAAGGCACCTAGGACCCATGTTCCGTTTTGGAGTGCACCGCCCTCTCGACCAATAGACAGCGCCATCATCATTCCTCCTGTAATTCCAATCACAATTAAAGATAAATTAATATATTTCATACACCTTGTTAATCTTAAACAAAGTCTTGAATTAAACCCAAAATATGGCCTTATGAATGATTTGCAATTGTTTTGGAAATTAAACAATTTATCATTTACTTTTCAATGTAACAGACTACCATTTATCAGAGAACGAGGATTTAAGCAAACTTATATTTACTCCAAGCTCCCCTGAAAATAAATATATTATTTTCAATGATCTTGAAATTCATAATGTATACCAAAAGCATAAAAATTTTGGTTTACATAAATTTTCATTAACACAGGCATGTAATGAATTTAATGAAATTTGTAGTACTTTTTTACCATCAAAAGTAGAACACTACTCATTGATTGCACTTTTTTTAAGGCTTGAAATTTTAATATCTTTCTATATGGTTTATATTTTCATTATGTTTTCATGTGGCTTTTATTTTTGTTGCATACTCTATATGGGAGTTGAGCTCCTGTTTCAAAAGAGATACAATAACATTACTATTAAATAATGGATAAGTTAACATAAAGTATATTTCCATTGTGTTAATTTTCTATTTTGTGCATAAAGGTCCCGATGGTAAATGCAAATTTAGAGCTACTTACCTGGTTTATAAGGTTGCACTTGCTTTCCGCTGTCAATAGTTTCTATATTTTTGGCAAGGTATTTTGCCTGGGTCTCTGCTACATGCGCCAGCTTAGCACGTTCCTTATTATTGCAGTCACCAATTGCAAAAACGCCATCACAGCCATCGACCTGAAGAGTTTCGTTCACATTCAAATAACCATTGCCATCCATCTTGTTAGCTTAAACAAAGCAAATTCAGAGTAAACATAAGCACACTATGCCGCACACTATAAATATTGCGTTTGATGGTTAAGTAGAGTATTGTTAGACTTCTAATAGATATATATGGGCATAGTTGGTGGGTGGGGGGAGGACGGGGACACCACATTATATCGGTCATATATGGCTGTGATTAAAAACATCATGCCCATTTGGGCAAATGGATGGTGGTTAGATGGATTTATTTGGAGTAAACACCGAGGAAAACACACAAAAGTGTAAGAAGACTTTTTTCCAGTGGGGTCCTTCTGGTGGTGATTGGGCAGACACACCGGGAGACAATTCCCCTACTCTTTTCCGAATAGCGTACTGCATTCTTTACCGTGCACACGAGCCATAATGAACACTGGACCAATTGCTTTAAACGTCTCATCCAAAAGACGGTGCACAATCGTAACTTACATTTCAGCATTTCTGCTGAGACGAGACACAAGGAGAACAGCGACGGGAATTGAACCGGGGACCAAGAGATCTCCACAGTTCAGCGCACACACAGTGGCCACCACCAGTTTAGCCGACTAAGCTAAGCTGAATATTTTATCCATAAAATCTAATGACATCCAACTTACTTTTTAAAATTATTTTAAACATGTTTCTGACTGGCTGAATGAGAATGAACTCTCTTTACTGTAAATATTGACAAAACTAAATCGCTTTTCTTGGTTCTAAGAAGAAATTACATAGTGCAGCAGATCTTAATATTAGGATTAGGGACTCTGCCATACAAGACGTTAACAGTTTTAAATATCTTGGCATCTGGTTTGATCCATCGCTTGTCAATATCCATTTTGACAAAATGTGTTGTAAAGTGAGTGGTAGAATTTTTCTTCCAAATAGATTACATCAATATATTATACACTTTTACTTCAGTTGACAGTGTTCCTAACTATTCTACCAGATCCTGTTCTACAGGAAACTTAATTTTGTCAGAACTGAATCTGGTAGAAATATTTACTTGTAGGGGTTCTCAAATTTGGAATGCGGGAGGTAGGTACAGTAATCCTTTTCCATCATTCTTATATTTTAATGTTTTTTATATTCTCTGTTGTTTCTATTGTGATTTTAAAGAAATTTTTAAAAAATAAATAAAAAATAAGCTGCTTCCTCATAAAGCACATTTGTCACAAAAATTCACAATGTCGACAAAACTTGTAAAATTAGCAATTCAGGTAGTAAATGAAAAGTAGTTTATTGGGAAGGTAATCATATACATTTTGAAAGTGTAAAATAATTTTTTTCCTAATCAGTGAGAAATGTACAAAATGGTCTTTGCTTGTGGAAATTGTCAGTGCACAGTCAATAAAAAAAAAAAAAACTTCATACCCATTGGTCCAGAAACCCATATAAATACAAATTTAATAAAAATAAATACTCTGAAAATCGGTATTTTGAATTCTATGTGTGTGTTTCTATGGCACAATTCCCTCTAAGTCATCGCAAGGATCAAATATCCGATGAGCGCAAGGATCAAATATCCGATGAGCGGTAAGAAGACGTCAAACCTTACTTTCACCTGTCAATGTACATACTTACCCAAGCTTATACCATAGGCACTGGTGTTGACCTTCAGTCCTGTGCATGGTACCACTAGGTCAGCTTCTATGCTCGATCCCTTGTCTGTTCTGACAACAGACTTTTCTGCTGCTGTTGGGAGCTCTTCCAGATTGGTTACTCTCTCTCCTAAAAACAAAAAATTAATAATAAAAAAAAAAGGTATGACTAATGTATTTTAACTGTTTATTATATTTATAATAGTAGTAATAATAATAATAATAATAATAATAATAATAATAATAATATAATAATAATAATATAATAATAATAATAATAATAATAATAATGATATGTTGGTATTTATATAAAATACAAAAGTAGCATTTAACATTATTACATCAGTCTATTGAACACACAAAGCTAAATTTCCATGCTATCGCTGACAGCTTTCGGTGATGAGGATTGGTTGTCGATTCGGGGTGCCTCCCCAACGTACAACAATTGCACTGAAAACACTGTAGCGACAGTGTAGTGATCTTATGAAAACCAGGCTTAACTCCTTGGGGGAGTATTTCATATTACCATTATTTTATCAATGTGTGATTGATAAAAAAAAAACGTGTATTTAACATATTTGATAATTTGTTTTGTAAATAAACTATTAAAATTTTTTTCTCAAATTCAATACCTACCCAGAACAAGTTTGACTCCAAGAGTTTCAAGCTGGTCTCGTACGCTCTTTGTGAAGCTGTCAGCATTCATCTCACTGACAAGTTTTTCACGTGGGTGAATCAGATACACCTCTTTGCCTTTTAAGTCGGTCATTATCTCACCAGCAAGTTCAACCCCTGCTGCACCGCCCCCTACTATCACAATCTTAGTAGAGGCGTGAATCTAGCAATTTAACATAAAAAATGTATATCCAGTTGAGTTTGAAATGTGATTGTTGTATTTGACAGACATAACAAGAAGGTTCATTCTTTGGACAGTAGAACCCATATTAAGGAGACACCTTTGGGACCAAAATGTTTCCCCTTAATAGGGGTGGCCCCTTAATAGGGGTTGGCCATAGTGAGATATACTTTCCCTCATTTTATTGCTGAAAAAGTGTCCCCTCCCCTTAATAGGTGTGTCCCAAAGGAGGGGTTCTATTGATCTATTGATTCCTTATGAAAGTTAAGTAAAGAGTAAGTAAAGGTGGAGATAGTTGGCAATCAGCAGGCTGTTACATTTTTGTATGCAGCAAATTGACCTCTTATTCTATAGGTCGTCACCGACACCACGAAGTGCCACAAACCTAAAAATAACGTATAGTCCTGAAAGCTTGTGATTGGTCAATTGTTAAGCAAGATTGACATTCAGAAATGTCTATTAGCCAAAGGTTATTTGATGCCTGCAATTTAGTGCTCTCATGGCCAAAATTCTGATTGTTTTTAATGCATTTTAATACGCAAATTACTTTTTATTACCATCTCTTCAGTATACCACTTTGAATGTATAATTTGAACAATTGAGTGTTGTTGCACTTATTCTTAATATATATTTCACAGTATTTATATATGATTTATGGTGCACATATTCATAAGAACTGTGTGGTGCTACAGCCAATATGTTAAGCAGGAACAAAATTAATAAAAAAAAAACGTAGTACAAAGACTGACTTTGATGTCAAAAATACACAAGAAATCTGAATAAACTACAGTAAGGCAAAAGAAATAGTGAGTCAGGAATAGGCAACAAACCAAAGGCACTACACTTTTTTTTTTTTTATAAAAACCAGTAAAATTTTGCCCAGGCTCAGTGTTCTTATTTTTTTGCCAATTTCAGGCTCCAAATGTTCTTATTTCGTTCTTATTTTACACACTTTTCAAACATAGAAAATTAATATTATTGTACAGCACTATACACTGTACTGGGAGGTAAAAACGGCCTTGCAAAAAATGACCCCCCCGAAAAAAAAGCCCAGAAAAAAATTTCCCCACAAAAAAAGGCCCCGGTTAAAAAATTGCCCAAAATGGGAGGTAGGTACACCTACTGACTGTATTTTAGAGGGTATTACATAGTCACACCTACTGCACATAAGGTACAGATATAATTTTTTAGTTTTTCTAGTTTGACATTCTACCTCAGCCTCAATTTGTTCTTATTTTGTTTTGTTCAAGCAATTTCAGCCTCAGTGTTCTTATAAAATGTGTTCTTATAAAAAAAAGAGTGTAGTATGCAAGTCTGGAAAAAAAATTATGCCTCTGACCATAAAAATTAAAATGCCTCCATTCCCGCAACAAGCAAAAACAAGAATTGTTGATGAGGATGATGAAAGAAAGATGAATAGCATTGGAGTTGCAACCATCTATTATACAAAACCTTTCATATTATTACAGGATATAGCATTCTATGCATATTATTAACCTAAAAAACTAGTGGATAATGTTAACAGCTTGATGAGAAAAAACAGGAAGGTAGCTTGACCTAGGGTCAGGTATGGGGTGAGAGGTCATGGAAGTGGGAGAGATGAATGAAGCTGTTTATTTTACCTTGTTCTGTAGATTAGTTTGTGTAAAGTTCACCGATAAGTGTTGCGGGACAAATTGACATGCCCTAATTTTTACATTTAAATCAATCAAATAATTCTAAAATGATTTATTATTCTGAATTATTATTGTAACCAGGAAGTATAACGTTTCTTATACTCCTATAATCACATTTTTTGTTTACATATTTTTTAATTCATTATGTAACATAACAAACCAGGACAATGTATCAAAGGTAAAATAAACCATTGTCATCGATCCAGTGTCTTACAATGGTGCTCTTGTCAAAGAGCCCATTGTAAGAAGCTCCTGTATCACATTTAATTTTAATAATATTATTATAAAATAATAAAATTCATTTTCATAATTATTCTCATCATCATCACCATCACCATTACTTACTAATCATAATCATTATATAATTCTTTTGTATACACTGACTTACCTCTTCCTTCAAGGAATCAAATTTGCTTATAATATCCTTGTTATCAACACTTTTAGTAACTTTACATGGGAATTTCCCTGTTGACCCTGTTGCTATGACGAGGTAGTCGTATGGAACGCTTTCGTATCGTTGACCGGACTGCATTGTCACCACCTTATCCTGCACATTTATGGATTTTACTTCTCCTCGTTTGAAACCATCTCCAAATGTGGGTTCATATGGTATAAATGTCTTCTTTGCAAATCCTAAGTCAAACAAATTAATAATATATTTTGGTTGTTTCAATTGTATTATAAAA